AAATTTAAAAACGTACGTTTTCAGGAAAAGCACTTTGCAAATTTTGTTCCCATTTCTTCAAAACTTTTATATTTTTTTTTATTTTATTAACATTTGAAGTTTCATAAAATGTCCATGGTAACGCAATATCTTTGGTAGTTTTCTTTTTAAAGAGCATCTTTAGTAGAAAAACACAAAATCCTGTCACGACCATAACGGACGTTTAAATGAATATTAAAAATAGTTAATATTATTTTTATAACTATGTTTTGCTATAAACTAATTTACTTTTATGACCATTATACAATAAAAAGGTCACTGAACTTTTGGTATATTTGGTCTTTCTAGAAAAAAATATAAAAAACTCAAAAAATAGAAAAAAGCCAATAAAATCTATTTAAGTTTGTATAACTCCGAAAAAACTTACCTGAGACCCGAAAAATCGTTATGTTTGTATAGAGGTGTGCTTCTTTTGTGTATAAAACATTGAAATATCACGATATTTTAATTTTTGAAATTTTTATGATAGAAATCATAAACGTGATGGTCAGGGACAAGCGGTACGGTCGTGAATTGTCTGGAATAATCTAAATCTTTTTAAACAATCCTTCAATTATACTGTTAGTTATAATAAAACTATGTGTTTCAATTTAACTAAACTGTTCAATTTACAATTATATTAAAGTTATTGTCACGACCAAACACACTATAAATCCATAAGGCTGGATTGGTCGTGAAAAAACCCGCGATGGTCGTGAAACTTTGGTCGTGAAATTATGTGTTATTTGGCTCTGTTCTGGCGGTAGCCCTGCACCTCATGTTCGAGGATACAAAGTGGACTTCTAGTTTAATCTAGCAATTGAAATATCTTATAAACAAAAATTAACACCATGTCTACTTCATCGAATGACTACGTACGGTCATGGACACACCAAAATTACAAAAAACACAATCTTTCCTTTACTAATCTTGTAATTCCTCCTTTCAACTCGAAACGACCGGCACTATAATCCTGACGTACACCCCGAACTAGTCTATAAAACCAACTGATTCCATCGACGCCAGGCTTGCCACTGTCGTGCTCCAAAGTTGAAAATTTTTCCCAAATGGTCGTGACGCTAAATCGAGGGACAGACTTATTTTGTCATGGTAGTCAGTCTGCAATGACAATAAAATTATAATATGCTCCTTTTTTGTAAGTTTAATAACCATTGATGACATAAAAATATGGCTTTATATATTTCGGCATGAATAATTAGTCTAAAAACAGCATGAAAGTTGGAAAATGTACCCTAGGGACACGTCATGGTCGTGAATTTTGAGACTTTAAAAATACGAAAAAAATACCTAGAACCTATTTAAAACCAAAAAAATGTGTGTAACATGTTGCCCCCGTCCCAAAAAATATTAAAACACATAATAATAAACTACAAATCCAGTATCTACGAAGTAAAAGGCCAGGGACATGAAAACGTACGTTTTTAAATTTTCACTCTTGTATTTGTGATGTAATGTTTAAAGGACGTCCTTGAGAAGTAGCCAAAATAATTACCAGCTTGGCACTCTGAGCGTAAAGGGGTATTCTTTTGAGAATGCCTTCCAGCTCCTCAGATTCCATCATTTGCAACTAAAGAATGTTGAAAAGTTGAAACTGGGTGGCCTCTCCATCTCGATTATTCTAATAGCTGTTTTTCTCGTTTACAGGTGGAGACGCAGAGCAGCCCTGTGGCTGCGAGCCGCTGTTGCGAGAACTACACAAGATCAGGAAGAGGCACCGGCAGTAAGGGAGATGGAACCGGAGCGCTCCAGTGTAGAGGTCAGGCCTTCCGCGGAGGATAGACAGGGCATGCCCAGCCTGCAACTTGTTGCTGAACTAAACCGCCCCCGATTGCAGTCACATTGGGTGGCGTAAGTTGACTAGTGCAGTGCGCGCAATTAGTAAGTGGCAGGACACTTTTAAATGGAGCTTCAGACATTAATAGATTCTTCTTTTTCCATTATTATATAATTAGTATTCTTTCTGTGTAACTATTTCATAAGTATTTTATTAATATACTGTTAAAAAGGACTATCGGTTTCACAAGTAGGCGTCGTAGGACAATGCACACTCGTGTATGATGTTTGGTAGTAGCCGATGCCTATAGTGCTATTATAAATTAATTGATTTTATATTTTTATTCACATCATTAGGCACTGGTGTGTCCTTATTGCCTTATTGGTTAGTTGATTGGGTTGGCTGTGCTTGTTAAAGTTTGATCCGAAATTTTGCTTTACAGCTATTTTTAGGGGAAATTTAAATTCTAAATGAAGAAAATGTACTCCTCAGTGAGTGTGTATGGCCCAAGAGTCAAGGCAACACGGGAAGGTAAGCAGCTGCAGTCCTACTAACTTCCTAATTACCCTTATCCTTCCCTACCATCTAATAATGCTGGACCGTACCCTTGGCCTTGGACTATGATATTTTCTTATCCGATAAAAATTATAATCAAATTTATTTCAATTCAAATAACAAAGGTAACTCTATTTTGGAATTTGTCAAGCTAATGGGCCTTGTTTGGAGGTAGGCCAGCACCTTCAACCTCGGTAGCCAGACCCATGACACAATAAATTGTCATTTAACGGATTTTGCTATTTATTTATTATTATTTATTTATTTATTAGGTTTATGTATTTCATTATTTGTTTAGGTAAGTGTTATTTATTTAGATAGGTATATTTGGTTGGCTTTTTGTTTTAGCCATGGGAAACTTAGTTGAAATTAAAGTAAAAGTTGAGTTTAGGAGTTATCAGTTTCCATGTTTAATTAGTTCATGATTGCTCCTGAATTTGTTTGCATAGGTATCCTTTTTTTATTTATTTTTATTTTTTTTATCTAATATGTTCATTAGATTCCAATATGTTGGGAATCCTTGAAAGTTAACAGAGGGATAATGTTATAATAGTTTTTTTTTCATTGTTGTTGACACTTAGTAGTGCCATGTTCTGCTCTACAGTGCTTGCTTCGTTTCGGCATTTGGTACATTATATTCAGTATTAACGAAACTAAATTAAGTTGAAAATTGTAAACGCCCCTTATATTCGGCTGAGAAATATTTGCTGCAAACCGTATTCGCTTTACATTCAAATTTATCAACCAACTTGTAATACACCCCATGATATTACCGGGGGAGAATTTATAGATTAGGCTGTGACTGCCTAAATTCACTGTTACCTTTATATTTCTAAGGACTACTAACCAGCATGGCAGGAGCGCTTGCTCTGAATCATTACTGAAGATAAGTGGGTCTGTGTATTCTCTCATCCGAGGGAAGCAAGCATTATCCGAGATGAACATAACTATTATTGTTTGTTTAAGTTATTGATTTATTACTGTATTAATGCAGTAGCAATGATCGTTAAATTTTTTCCTTGATGAAGATAGCTTTGAATCTGTTTTGTTTGATTTTTATTCTTGAAATTTAAAATTAATGTATCGTTACTAAAATGTTATATTACTGTTAGTGTTAGGTCCAGTATGAAGGATTTTATTTTATTGTAGCTTGTTGTGGTTTATTGTTTTTTTGTTCTTTTGATTCGACTTGCTGTTTAAATTGAATAACTTTATATATAGTGTAAGGGTTGTAGGTTGAATGTTAGTGTTTTTGGAATCCAGAGTTATGGATGTAATTGGTTAAATTTATAGCATTAACAGGGAAAGGCGATGATGCTAAAGAGTTCAATTATATGATTTTCTTTCTGTGGGTCTTTTGTTTGGGAAATTTAAATTCATTAAGTTACATTCTACGAGGCGTTTAAATTGGCTTTGGTGGTGGCGTTGGGCTTCGCTGACCGGATTTCTGTGGCTGAGAACCATAGTATGGAGATTGAGAGTCCTCAGGTGCAAGGCTCGCTCACTGCTTCCTGCTGTACCTCTTGCTGGAGTCAGCAAGGTCTGAGGAGGAGGGGGATGTGACGGTCCCAAAAATTCTCAGACCCATTACATATCAGTTGGGGAGGTTTTTGTTACACCCTCAGGAAACCCTGTCTTTACCGTCACGGAAGCTTTGCTTTATTTCAAATATAAAAAGAGGGTATGTAATATTGGACTGTTAACCTCCCAGCTTTTTGCGTCAACCAGTTGCCTCACCATGGAATATTCCGTCAGCGTGGCTCAGGCCAACGTTCTCGGAAAGTGTAACGCGCATGGCTGGAATTTGCTGATACAGCTCAGCAAGTCGCTCGATGAAATCAGTTAATGCGCAGCTATAGTTTGCCTAATGCCCTGATGAATCGTTAGGCAGCAGCACCGCCCAGGGCTTGCACTGACGTCACGCGGCATAGCCGCAACGTGATTGGCTGGTTCCCCTCCACGCCCAACTCTGGGCTATGGGCAGAGCGCACTCAGTTGAGTTAGTCAAAATTCTAAATTCAATTCAATCGGTCATGTAAGTTGCGTCGCCTTTCCCCATAGCCTCCTCGGGAGGCTATGTTCCCCAATAACTTATTTGTGTTGTAAACTAAGTTTATAAGATTATACAGCAAGTCGGAAGCTACCTAAATTATCTGTTTTATCATAAGTAAATAAATTATTTATTCGTAGTGCATTTTCGTTGTTTCATTCGGCCACCTGTCACAGTTTTAATATTATAGATTATTAAATGGCGACCATACGAAGTAGGTATTTTAAGCCAAGTATGAATGGAGATGAGTGTAGGATGAGTGGCGCGATCTTGTAGTCTTGTTTTATATTTTATTATATTTATTATATATTATTCTGGTTAGTCTACTTCTAGAGCTGACTGTACCCGTTGGATCGAACGAACAGTGGAGCGAAAGAACAGGCAAGTCATTTGTAAAATTACTTTTTGGAGTGAACGATCGTGGAGTGAATGAAAAAACATTCACGCATTCTCGCATCAAAAACACATAAAAAAACATTAAACATTTAGAGTAGGCCTACTATTAAATTAACCGGCTGTGGTACGGATATTTCTTTTCTCTTTCTTTCATCGAAAGTGCACTAACAAAGTCAACAGATTCACCTTATTGTCTGTGCCGAGGGAGTAGCAGTGGTTTTGGTCAGGAGTGAGTTGTAGCTGAGTAACAGCCCCCTGGTGGCCACTCCAGGAGTCCACCACGTCGCCGTGCCGCAGGTCCAGTGTCCGCACTGTTCCGTCACTACAGCCACACACCAACAGCTGGCCATTGTGGTTGTACGCACAGCAAGCAGCATACAACGTGGCCAATCCTGGACCTAGACTCAGACTTCTCTGCACAAAAAGTTATTACAACTGTAGTGTTTGAAATTTGAATAGTTTTGGGAACAAAAAGGTATGGTGTGTGTTAAGAAAATACTAGAATTAAAATGATTATTGGTAGTGTGAAGTTGGAGTGCACAATTTTAAAGCCCAAAATCCATGGCACAGCATTTTAAAGTTTTGGTACAGAATTAGTACACAAATTTGTTATGAATATTAAATTTATACTATTTTATATATGTGCACTTTGTCTTCACATCTCTTCAAAAAGGTTGCGAGAGAAAATGGAAATTTTATGTTTTGTGGTTAAAAATGAGAATACCCAATTTTTACCCCATAAAACTCCGTTCCTATGGTTCGATCATGCTGGTTCGCAAAATAGTGTGAATTAACATAAGTTAACTCGTTTGTACCAAATTTAATCAAAATTGGATCATTTTTGCTCGAGTTATTGTGCTAACATACACAAAACTCATGCAGGGCGAGGGAGACCACCCATAGATATACTTTTACGGGAGTACGTTTTTACCTAGAAACGCGAAATAAAATTATTCCCCATAAATCACATACGAAGAATCCATTTAAAATACTTAGAACATGATCCAAGCGCAGGGTGTTCCAGAAATGAAGGTCTTGGGTTCGAATCTCGAAATTTCCTTATGTCAACCTATATCCCTTTGTACATTATTAGAAAGGTCTTGCTTAGAGCATAATTTTGTTGAAAACAGAACTCAACTATCTCAATTCGTTTCAAAACGGCTGCCACTTTTGTAAATTTTTCACGTATTGAAAATTTTCCCATATAAAGTGCATGTTAATTCCATTATCAAACAATACAGTTTTTTATATTTTTTTTTAGCTTTAGGCTTTAGAAAGTAAAATGTTTTTTACATGTGAAAATTTAGTTTTTGGTTTATTACTCAAATAGGCCTACCAAAAGAAATAGACATTAGGTGTAAATTGGAAAGTTGTTCATCTTAACAAGACGCTTAAAATGATATGCTAAATGTGACACATCATTGTAAAGCTGTGTTTACCAAGATTACGAATTTTCAATCAGAACGAGAAATGTTGAGCGGTTTCGAAATACAGGGTATTACATGAAAAATTCACAAAAAAGGGCCTCCATTTTCAAACTAATTGAGATAACTGAGTTATGTTTTCACCAAAATGTTGCTCTAAGCAAGCATTTCTAAAAATATATAATAGGATATAGGTTGACATATGGAAATTTTGAGATTCGAACCCATGACCTTCATTTCTGGAACACCCTGTGCTGGATGATGTTCTAAGTATTTTAAATGGATTCTTTGTATGTGATTTAGGCGGGAATAATTTTATTTCATGTTTATAGGTGAAAACGTACTTCCGTAAAAGTATGTGCACTGGTCTGCCTCACACTGTATAAGAATTTGAATGGATAGTGTTTTTGGCCTCTGGGGACATCAAAACAAAAAAGTCATTCGATCCTAGGTCCAGGAGGTCTTACCATGAGACCCTACGTTAATAGCTTGAGGTAACTTTCCTATTTTACCTTTGTAGGAAACCTACAATAATTTCCTATTTAGCCTTTATAGGAAAAATACAAAAGTATTAGTTTGATTTACCTCAAGTTTTTTGGACTTAATGTCGTATAGGAGCAGCTTTCCCTGGTTCTGTTCAGTGACACACGCACCAACAAACACATTTTCTGACGGGCTGCATGTAACACACACCACCCTGCAAAGAGAAACTAACTGTCAACAGACAAACTAGAATTTGACATTATACTAACCAATCAACCAATCGTAACTGTTTTTATTAAAAAAAAGGTACGGCCAAGGTTAAAAAAATTACAAAATACAGTAATATATATATAAGTGTGACAACCTAGGATAACACAATTTCACAAGATTAAAATTCTAATTTGAACTAGGGAAAATTATATAAGAACCAGAATTCCAACATAAGATATAAGATTTTATTGGTCATTATACATTCACCTGCATTGACAAGTCAAAAATATCAGCACAGATAAGTTATTTGTGCAACTAATGAGCAAAGTGAGCAATTGACTCAAATTATCTTTATTCATCAAGTACATTAGAAATATATACATGAATAGTATCACATTTTTTATAAGTTATAATAAAATATACATGCTTATAGTAAATGGGAAAAATTGTAAAAGAACAAAAAACTAACAGCTAAAACATACTTTGATTAGTAGGGAAAGAAATAGTTATTTGTGTAACTAGTGGTGAAAGTGGCACTTTGCTGCACACGAGAGCAATGTTTACGCACGAGCCGCAGGCGAGTGCGGAATGATCTCGAGTGCAGCAAAGGCCTTTTTCACTCGTGTTACACATTATATTTTTCCTACAGTCACTATAAAGCATACCTATAACTTAAATAATTAGCCTTTCAAACAATATTCAACACGTTTTTAGGTTAGGTTAAACCCAAGCGTTGAACGGATTAGTAAACACTGCACCAGTGCACCAGCTGATTGTAGTCGTAGTATCATTAAGTGTTGAGTACACGTCGTATATACGGGATGGGAAGCATAATTTTTATTTCAATTGGAGTTCCTGGCGTATAGGACGAATGCAGTACATATTTTGATTGGCTTGGGCTTGAGGGAAGATCATTACCGCAACGATTCAGTAAGAGACCAAGTGATTTGGTGGTCTACTGGTTAGCGTGTTGAGCTGGCAATCTGTAGGACCGGGTTCGAATCCTCTCAGTTGCACTTTCTTTTTGTCTAAGATTTTTTGTTATCAGCAAGTTTGGCTAAGTTATGACAGTTTGATGTTATAATTAAAACATTATAAAAATGATTTAGAGCCATTTATAGTTTTATTTTATAAACATAAGTTAACTATTTTTTCGATTAATTAGTAAACCTTCATTCGATTTTTACATTGTCAGCAAGTTTGGTTAGGCTATTATAAGTTAGGCTATTATAAGTTAGGCTATAATAAGTTAGGCTAGTTTAATTTATAATAAAAAATATAAAATTGAATTTGAGGCATTTATAGTTTTATTTTATGAACAGAACTATTTTATTTCGATTAGTAAACCTTCATTATAGCCAAATCAGAAGCGAAAACGGCAATAATCAGTAGGCCTAAACTTAACTTATAAACAGAATAAACAAGTAGGCCTAAGTAAACAGGTAATTTTTATTAAACAGTTTTAACACTTTTCAAACCAACAACAAGCAAATTAACAATAACTAATGAAAACTGGAATGAAATTCTTAGTATGTTGACAAATAAAAATCAGAACTTGGAATTTAACAAACATAAGTTAGGCCCTAATGAAAATGTGAACTCAATTTATTTATTGTTCGTGATGTTAATGTTGAATGTACAGTTTTCAAATTTGCACGACAAAACTAATCCCGATGCAGAGGACACTTCGGAATGTTCTTCGAGTTGATTAGTCTGTTGTAGGCCTAGTACAGGTGCATTTTCTGGTGACTGTTTCTTTCCTAAAATCAGTTGTCCAGTTGCAATCTTTCCGCTAATAGAATCGTCGATGTAGCCTTCAGCTACTGTTGAGCTTTTCCAGCCTCCGTGACGCTTTAACTGTGTCATGTTTCCTCCTGCTTCAACTAACAATGTTGCTGAAGTGCGTCTAAAACAGTGTCCAGTGTACCTTTCGGGGTTAGGTAGATTTAAAAATGTAGCTACTTCAGTTGGGATTTTACCTATTTTATTAACACCTACAGGTTGTCTAATACAAACACCATTAGCATACTTCATGAATAATCTACTGTTGGGTACACCTGAAGGTCTCAATTTAAGGTATTTCCTGTACAATTCCAAATAACTGATATCAAGATTATCGTCGTCCGTTACAGTGAAGATGCGGCTTCTGTTGGTTTTTGAGTCTGGTATTTTAACTATTAAAATTGAACCTTTATCATCTATGTCATCTACCGACATTTTAGCGAGCTCGTCTCGCCGACATGCTCCAGCTATTCCTAGTATTAAAACTACCTTCTTCAATAAGCAAGTTTCATCAGGAGCAGTTTTAATAAAGGTTTCAACCTCATCTTTTGACAACGTCATTGACTTTTTAGGCTCATAGCCTACAGACAGTTTTTTCAAAAAGGCTATAAGTTTTTTGTAGTTGCTTATGTTTACATCATGTTTAACTTGGATTGTTTTCTTGAGCATAGAATAAATGCTCCAAATAGTTGAAGACTTAATCACTTTTGATTGTTCTGCAAAATATGCCAATAATACATTTTCTGATACCTTTGTTGCTGGTACTTTCTTACCGGCGCACCATGATGAAAACTGGTCATAGGCTTTTTCGTACCTTTTTTTTGATTTGTCAGGTAACAAATTCAAACTTACGTTCTTAGCAGTTTCTGCTAATTCTTCCGGTGTGCCTAAAATATATTCCGTATCACTCTCACTTTGTTCGTTCATGTTAATACCGCTTTTCACTTAATTATATTTTTAAATAGGATGAAATAAGTTTAGGTTATGTTCTAGTTCTAACCAAGCGTTGAACGAAAATAGGACAACAACTATAAACGCGAAATGAAAGGTTAGTCAGTCAGCTGATGTTAGTATTATTATCTTTAAGTGTTGCCAACCTATTTCCAAGCGTACACGGATTACGTGCATAATAAAACCACGCTGTTTTGTGTCGTTTGGTTGGAATCCTGATGTGCGGCAAAGTATAAACCGTGCGGCAAAGTATAAACCGTGCGGCAAAGTATAAATATGCAGCAATTAGCAGCTTTCTGTACTATAAACAGTACAGGGAAGCCAACTTTCTCGGGTGACTGTAGGAAAAGTCAATTACAGTTCATCAAATGAATAAATAGCCCTGTGTAAAGAAAAATAAAAAGATTCTTTACTTATTTCTTTTGTAAGGAAATATTACTACTTTATTTCCTTACTTAATTGATCATTCCATCAAGTATAAAATCACCTCACACCTTTATGTAATACAATTTAGGTATTCCATACAGGTGTGAATATACTAAAAGTTGCCCCCTGGTGGGGTTTGAAAAGAAATTTAATTAATTTAATCAGACAACTGAGGACTAATCACAGAGCTGGCAGTGGAAGTAAGATGTTGTATTGAGCCCTGGTAATTGTATACCCCAGAAATCCGATTTATGGACCGTGAGAGGTCTGATATGTCCTCTTGAAAATACTTTCAATGATCTTATAATGTAACACCTCTTAAAATGCAATAAAATGTGAACCAATACTCTGAATGCAAAATGTACTCTTATTTGAAATTCTATTAAATATGGCAATGATTCTGTAATAATGAAATAGTTATACCAAACACTGATTGAACCAATATGTAATAATTTATGTAATGATAAACAATGACTAATATTGTACTTTATTGCAATTGTTCGGTTAAGCCGATTACCTTGAGAAAAGATCAACACAGGAAAATTAATAAAATTTTTGAAAAATAAACTTTATATATTAATCATTCAAATATTTACAACTGCTACAAGTATCAAATATAATTCAAGTTTGTTTTAATTGACACTTCTATGCAAACAATGGAGAGTATTGATTGTGATTTTGGACCTTCCTTTCCTTTTTTAAAAATATTGATAGCAGAGCCTCGGGAACCTAGGTTTGATTTATTTAATCTATTTTTAGGTTATCAGGCTTCCCAAAATAGTGTATTTATTAACAACTGGCCAGCTGATTTAAATATGCAAAAGGGGCTATTCGTCAGATCTCTATATATACCTTAGAAGTGATTTATATCCAAATATTTATGAAAGAACAAAGTTGTTACAGTTTTACGTAACAGACAGATGATAATGTTAGAAATTGAAGTTAAATATAAAAAATACAATATAAATTCGATTGACGTGAAAGTTTACTCTAATTATTAATCTAGTAATATCGACACTAAGTAGTAATCAATTTGACGACACTTAAACATATAATTACGACACTGTACTTGGGGATGACTACGTAAAAATGGTCAATTTTGACGAATTTTGCCGGTCGATGTCGAACTCCAAGACTCGATTTGTTTATTCAATTCGTAATTTTTAAGCAAACGTTGTTTCGAGATTCAAATACCTATGCACTCCGGAGATCAAACAATTGATTTCGTCGCCGATATACACGTCACGATTTCCAAAAGTGAGTTTTAGCGAATTGAAAAGAGAATTTAAAGATTTCCGAACATCACCGATCGAAGCCTGGTCCCCAAGTAAGCGACCGTTGGGAAGACTTCCACGACGTTAACAAGTTCATATCACTCCGCGCTCACGTGTTGCGTCCTTGCTTTTGCGCGTTTTCTGTTTGATTTGAATTTAATCGGTACACCTGCTAATGAGAAATTTCTTAAGTTTGTTTTTAATTTTTTTTATATTTACTTCTGCTTGTATGTCCTTTGGAAAGTTTCTGTTTATTATAGAATTTTGTTCCGTCGTATTTGGTTTTTTTTTTGAAAATGCGCAATTTATGAGGACTTAATGCTAACTTGCCTCAATTTCTTGTAAAATAATCATGTTTCTTTCCAACCAGCTCTATTTCATGAAATCTGTTTTTAACGGATACCACTGTTTAAAAAACATACATACCGAAAACTGTCATTATATTTTCTGTTTTAAACTTTCTCTTAACAGAAGTTCTAGGTGGAAGGTTGTAAATTATTCTTATAGCTTTTTTTCTTTTTTTAATATAGATTTTAAGTTTCTCTTATTGGTTGAGCCATAAAGGGAAATC